CGGCGGCCCGGGCGTAGGTGGAGGAGAACGCGACCGTGACTCCGGCGTCGTAGGGGCCCGTCCCCGAGCTTCACCACCACCTCAGGGCCCACTACCGGGACCGCCTGGTGCTCTTCATCGTTGGGCACTGGCTGTGCCGCCTGGCGCAGTGGCGGGCCCTCGGCCACAGCAGGCTTCTCCACCTCCTTGTGGGGGCCCTGGTGGCCCCGGCGGCGGTCCTGGAGACGCTCTTGGTGCGGCAACTGCGGGGGTGGGCGCGGCAGGGGTGGTGGTGGGCGTGGGTGGTGCCGTGGGCGTTGGCGGCTGCTGCTCGGGCCCGGGGCACAGCAAGCGGCGGCGTCAAGCTCCCGGCGTTGGCGCAGTTGGCGGGGGCAGTCCGGAGCGTGAAGAGGTCGGAGCAGGCTACAACAGTGAAGACGAATATGAAGCCGCCGCGGCACGAATCGAGGCCATGGATCCTGCCACTGTGGAGCAGGTAAGGGCTGGAAGGTGTGGGGCTAGCAGGTAACAGCACGAGAGCCCTCCAGACTGAAAAGGGACCTAAGGAAATGTTGTTTCAGATTGGCCCAAGAAACTTAGGTCTTGTTGCTGAATCTGACATTCTTCTCTGGTGGAGAAGGCATGATGAAACCTCATTCCCCCGCTCCAAAGACAGTATTAGGGACCCTAAGTACGCTAAGATACTACTAGATGAGAACTTGGAGCTCTTTTGCACGCCATACTTGTCAGTCCTGGTCCTGGGGTCTCATCTGCATGACTGATGGTTGGAAGTCCCCAGGAGTCACAGGTAGGTTGGATCCCTTCCTGAGAGGAAGATCTCACTCAGGTCTTGCTAAGGGACTTTGGTTCAGTGACTTTAAGAGTTTGTTTTTTTTTTTTTTTTGGACGAGTCTGAGATTTTTCTCTCCAAAGTACTCAGACAAGGAAGTGTCCTCAAAGATAGGGTCTAAGCATACCCAAGAAACCTAAAACTTTAAAGAATCTTGACATTCTTCATGTAGGAAGGACCCTTTCCGCCTTTGCAGAATTGACAGGTCTGTTGACCAGCCATGCCGGTGACCTCCTCGGGAGTCCTAAAAACATCTATTGAAGGACCTAGACCTCTTCCTTGTAGAATTGAGGGTTTAGAGTAAACCCTCACACCTGTAGGTAGTGATTTTCAAAGCATCTCTCCAGGGATATGAGACTTCCTCCAGGAGATAAAGTTCTCTAACCCTTGGAGACAAAGGCTGAAACCAATACCTAGGACCAGAGACTTCCTGTCTCATACTCTTTGTATTTTCTATCAGTGAACTGATACCTGCGTCCTTGGAGATCAGGGTCCTAGATTTCTTCTCGGAGATGTGTTCTTTGCCTCCACCCCACCATTCAGCCATGAACCTGAGCCTTTCTTCAAATGAATGAGACTCAGAACTTTGGTGGATGTTGATGTAAAGACAAAGACCTCTTTGCTTATGGTCTGGGGTTTTACACACTGGGCCTGTGGTCTCTTCAGGAGTATGACACAGATGTTTCAGGCAAGAAGAGCTCTTCAGGACATGCTTTCATTCAGACTGGTGTCTTTGCTCTTGGGGGAGTCATATATACCCCTAAGGATATATGTCTTACTGATTGAAATTCACTTCAGGGAGTCAACATCCAATCTTCCCCCTTCAGTGAATCTAAAGACTTCTCTGATTCCCCAGGGGTTGAGCTGTTAATGTCATGAGGAAAAAAAAAAAAACTCAAGGCACTAAACACAGATTGTTTCTTGGAAAAAAAAACAAAACCCGAGGCTTCCCTCAGGAAGAGCTCCATTTCCCCTGGAGAACTCTCACCCATTGACTTTGTAGATGAGGTCCTAGAATCTCTGGCCCTGTCCAATCCCTGCTTTGGAAACTCCAGCCTCAGGACATGGACAGTTTGGAGACCCAGAGGTGATGTCAGAGTTCTGCTTCTAAACCTGCCTTCCAAGGCCTGAGGCTTTCTTTTCTGTGAAGGATAAGAGTTTCCTTAGGAACAGGAGCTTCATACATACTCCTAAAGACTCATTCTAGAGGTAATGTCTGAAGTTCCTGCTCAAGGAACTTGAGGTGCTCTTCAGAGACAGGATGACATTTCCCACCAGGACTGAGTTGTGGCACTTTTCTTTTGGGCATGATTATAAGGTCCCTGAGGAACAGGAACTTAGTCTCTTTCTGAGGGCTTTCAACATCACATCTGCTGTTTGAGGGATTGTTCTACTCCTTAGGTTCTGAGACCTGAATCTTTTGGAGCTATCACCTAAGACAATATAAGTATATTCTTTATAGGAGTGTTTTAGGAACAGAAGATTCTCTTTAGGGGGAACTTGAGGCTCAGGGACATTGGCAGGGTACAATTCTGAGGAAAACAGCTTGGGCCTCTTACCTCTGAAACATTTCCCTCAGGGACAAGAGGTTCTTTGCCTTGGGGACTGAGGCCTGAGTCTTTGCTTAGGCATGCAGCTCTCCTCCCAACATCTCAGCTGATTGATTCTTTCTCACCAAGGAGAGGACGTGAAGTCATCTTGAGTATGGCCAGAGGCTTCTTCCTTTGAACAGAGAGGACCTGGGTGTTCCTTTCATAACAGTTTTTTACCCTCAGGTCAGAGCCTAGAAGGTTGTCAGATCCTGGGCCCAGAAGCCTGAGGCATCCCTCAAACTGGTAGAGATTCTGATTTCATTTGTTGCTTCCTCCTTCAGTGGTCCTGAAAATTTCTCTCACATCCATTTCCTTTGTCTCATTTTTTTTTCTATTTTACAGGGAACAGAATGTGATCTCAAATCTACTGTTCTTGTTCCTTTCTTATCATTTCTGACGGAACAAATCATCTGGATTCACAGATGTCAGGTCTGGGAGTTATGAATCCCTGATTCTTGTAAAGTCTATTTGCCCCTTACAGAGCTATACATTCTTTGTTCCAGGGACAGAGAAGGTATGTTGTTTATGGAGATGTGAAAGGCAGTCTGCAGTTCTGTCCTTATATTCTTCTTCATAAGAACTTGGAAGTAAGATCTGATGAACTACCTAAAACCTACTCTTCCCTATGACAGGGGAGAGGCTTTCTGTTCTGCTGTGGGACAAAGGGAAGATAGCGCTCTTCCTTTTCTCGCTGCCGTTCCTGGCCGAACTTTGAGCCTTTTGAGAAGAAGGGAGATTGCTTCTGCTACCCTAATCTTGGCCCGCAACTGTTGCTGAAGATGTTTATAACTTAGGGGCTAGTTTGATACTGACAGAAGGGGGTGATGATTAGTCTGGGTGGTGAGTCTGGTTCCAGTTCTGTGAATATATATTCGTGTTCCCTTTAGGATTCTCCAGGTACCTGGGGTCAGGGTGCTGGGGAGATGATGCCAGAGGGTTACTTTTGGCATGGTCACCTTGTTGAGAGCCTGTCCACTGAAAACTGGCTTGTAAGCATCCTGAGCGAGGAGAGACCTCACAGAGATCATGGAGAAAGGGGCATACATGCTGAGATAGTGGAAGATGCTAGGCTTAGCAGTGTAGTCAGCATGTGGATCCTAATTCTTAGTCTGTGTAGCTTCTGCTTCCCTCTGCAGTTTCCTTCCTTACTCTCTTGCTCATGTGCTGATGCGTTGTCAGTTAGCTTTGGGGTTTTAGGGATTTCAAAGCCCCTTATACCTGAAGTTGATAGTGAATAATGGGTGTTCTTTGAAGAGGAGCTTCTTTTTCTTCCTTACTTTTCAATCATAGAGGTTTGATGAGTACGATTTGGTATGGGGTTAAGGATAATGGGTGGCAATGTTGTAGCCAGCTATCAAGTTCCACGGTTGTATGTGGAAAGAATTTGGGATTTGGAGCTGGGCAGGCTTGATTTCAAACTCTAGAGTTAACTATTAAACTGGTGTTATGATTGTAGAACTCACATTTTAGGGCAAAAAATTCATGAGGGTTATTAGAGTGTAAATATCTTACCTATCTTGGCTGGTTCTTTTTGCTCAGGGTGAATATTTTGCCCCAGTACCATCTTGTTTTCTTCTCAAGAGGCTTTGTCCGTCAATAGGATCCATCTCTTCACATTTAGAAGCTTGTCCACCTGGAATTGGGTGGTTGGCTGGTAAGGAAGCAGCATATCTCTGACCTGGCAACATGGATCTGAGTCCTTTTTCAATATTAAACTTTTCTGCGGTCTTTGGACACTTCCCTTTTCAGGGTCTTTCGTTCTTTCTTTCTCTCTCCATTTTTTTCTAGACAGGGTTTCTCTGGGTAGCTCTGGCTGCCCTGGAACTCACTCTGTAGACCAGGCTGGCCTCCAACTCGAAGCTCTGGCTGCCTTTGCCTTCCAGGTACTAAGATTAAAGTCATGCACTACCACACCTGGCTTGGATCTTGATTTCTCTACCTATTAAATAGGTAGTGGTGAGGAGAGTGGTTGGACTCATTGCTTTGAAGAAAGTTATAATTTTGCCTTTAATATCCTGTTTTATACTCTTCTGTCCTTTATGGAATTTTATGTGGGAGCCTTGACTCTGCAGATGTTAACCTTTTAGAAGATGTGCTATGATGTTGCAGCCAGTGTTGAACTTCTTTCTTCCTGGTAGATGCTGTAGGTTCTTTGGTGGTTTTGTGTTTGTTTAACAGTTTTATTGTGATGAAACTCATGTGCACAGTTTTCTGAATGTGATGGCTTATACCTATAATCCCATCATTTGAGAAACTGAGGCAAGAGGATTGCCAAGAGTTTGACACCAGTCTGAGCTATAGTGTTGAGATGCTAAGATAGCCAAAATAAAAAGTGTACAATTTAATGGTTTTCAAGAAATCTATAGAATTGTACTTCTGCCTTCAGTCAGTTTTAGAATTTTTTTAAAATGTCATAGAACACTTTATACCTTTTAACCCCTACCCCTAATTCCTTCATCTCTTTCCAGCCCCTGGCAACCCACTAATTTGTCTGGCCTTATCAACTATTCTGAAACAAGCAGACTCATACAGTGATGTAGTCCTTTGTAATTTTGCTTTTTTTTTTTTCTTTTTAGTTAGCATGTATTTCAGGCACATACATGGGATAGCATATATCAGTACTTTATTTGTTTTTATCACCAAATAATAGGATCTTGGGTTTTTAGTCCCTCAGTGGTCCAGGAACAGGTTGGGGGGTGTCTTTATCTTTCTTCTATTTTGGTGGGCTTGTGTGGGTCTTTAGAAAAGCAGTATGTCCATGTTTCTCATTGGATAGATTGCCTGTGTTTATTACCCCTGGAGCAGGGCCAGTGTTCATTCCTGGGTGTTTTGGGTGAGGGGGTGGTGTTGGCTCCGAGCTTGCTGGGACAAAGCTGGGAGGCCTGGAATACTAAGCACCTCTTGGCCATGGGCGCTGAGAAGACATCTGTCCAATGTCGTTGCCATCCTTTCCTGCACCCTTCCCCCTTTATTGGCAGCTCTTTTACCCATAGGCTGGGTCAGCAACTTCCCAGGCCAAGAGGGAGGATTCCAGACCCCTACTTCTTTTTTATT